TGGATGTTGAAGGAGCTGTTGTAAGCTTAAGTGAAACAATGTGTCAAATGAACAGGAATGATTCTGTTGTAGGAAACTGAATCTGTTCAGAGTCTCACCTGCACTCATACCAAAATAAAAAAAAAGCTGGACAAGATTGTTTTATCACAATAAATCCATTTAATTTAGCTCAAGTTAAAGCCCTGTTCATGAATATTTTGTGTTGGCCCTGGATCCAAAATCAGATTTATACTATAATTTCACCCCAGCAGGGAAACCAAATGGTTCCATTGCCAGCCCAGTACTGTAAATAAAGTTCTCATGAGATGCCTCCTGAAGAAAAAAATATTATTGACTTCCAGTTTGTGTCTCTTGGCTGATGTAGAGTCACACATGAGATTATACACCCCTTTCTGTAAAGATTTTTTTGTCCTGCACCCCACTGTTTTGGTTGTCTGTCAAGGCTTTCAGTGTGTTTTATTTTTTTCCAATAGCAACTGCCCCCCCCCCCCCCTTCAAAAAAAGCTTTAAAAAAAAAAAAACAGTTCCTGACCGGCTAAACATCCAACATCAGATTGAGATAATTGGTTTGTATTTAATAGGAGTTTGTAGAAACCAAAAAACAGCACAAGTAATAACTTAAAGTTGATAAAGAATTAATAATTCTGACTTCCCAAACTCCTGAAGGCTCTGGTAAAAAAAAAAAAAAAAGCCATTTTCAAATTCATGCACTCTGCAATTGTTTTCTAAATTGTGCCCAGTGATTTAACTGAACAATGTTTCAAACTGGGTATGGTTTCATAAACTGCCCACGGATTTGTACTGCAGATACAACCACTACTAACCTGTTTGTGCTAGCCCTGAGTTGTAGGCGGAAAAATGATACCAGGTTTAAAGGTAAAGACATTGGTATCATCAACTGTGTTTAAGAAAGTGTATACTTTCTTCCTCAAGCCGTGTTACGGTGTGTTCAACATCTGCCACAGTTGGCCATCTTTCCAAACTGATTATCTAGTCCAAGTGATGTTTCATTTCAGAATTAATTTGAACTACATATTTACAAAAATGTCAATGAGTTCATGGTAAGTATCCACAATGCTCAATTCATCTAAAGATATTTAAGTGTCCGTTGAGTGTTGAAAGGCACAGTATGTTGATTCTGCCGCGAGGGGCTCTATATCAATACAATGACGTTGATGCTGGCAGGAAATGATGGAGTGATTCTCTGCTGCTGATAAGACACTTCCTGTTACAAATCTAAAATTAGGGATTTATCTGGCAATGATAAGTTTTTTTTTTACTCAATTCAGATATTTTAATACAAAGCTACATATAGTAATGAACACATTTACCATTAAAGTTTGCAAACTGAAACATTGGTTTGTTCCATAAGCTATTAATCTCACACTAATGCATCACATGAAAAACAGATAGGCTTGTTGAGCAGCATGTCATTATTCTATATTTGAGTAATTAAACTTAGAAACATTTTTTTCATTTTAAATGTCCACAGTAGTTTCTACTGGTTACAAATGTATATTAATTAACACTTGGTATGTCACTGTATGCAAACTGGATCCATGCCTGATTTAACTTTATTGAAAATGCAGAAGTTGCAAAGCCTTTAACCATGGTTTTTATGAACCAGTCATGTGAAACATAATTATTGTCAACTGTAAAGTCATTCATCAGGTAGGTCCAGGAGAAGAAAAGACAAGACAGGCTGAATGTGCAGTTGAGCTTTATTTTTACTGAGACAAGAAAATAAAAGTTCACAGTATGATGAACACATTTGATCTTTAATCAACATGTGATAACAAGACATACCATAAAGAAAAACAAGAGACAGATCCTGAAGAAAAACAAGGTTGATCAGATCCAACTTTACAAATCCTGTGTTACTCCCCACACTCTTTAAGGAGGAAGATGCTGTCTACATCTTGAACCAAAACTCTTTAGAATCATCTAACTTAAAAAAAAAAGAAGGTTTCTTCAGAAGTCTCCAGCAGTGTTGGGGAAGAATTTATATACTTACAATAAGCAGAAAAGCAGGACATTGAGCACAAACTACACATGACATTGTCATTGCTGCTCACAAACTGTACTTAAGACTCCATTTGAGTATAAGATGCTACTGTGCACTCAATACTGTTTATCAGAGAGTACCAGCATGGTCACTGACCAGAAGGGTTCTGTCAGACAGGTGTCAAAGGTCGTGTCAGAGGTCTGGAGATGGTCTTGATGTCGGTCGGTCTGTATGTCAGGTCAGGTGTCATTGTGTCGTGACAACAGTCGCCTAGGGAACAAGAAGCTACAGTGTTATTCACAGGAGCAGAAACAACTCTACTGTCATCAGACACTTGTTAACATGTCAGTCAGTGGTGCTTTCCAACCAAACAAGTGTGGAAGACTGCAGGTGAACTCGTCCAAAGAATGTACACTTAAGGAGGTAAACATTTTAGATTGTGTTTTGTAAAGGAAAGGTTATGTAGTATTTGAGGACTACTAACTATTCTAAAATGGAAGTGGATATTCCACAACCTCCGCTAAGAACATGCAGCGTGAACTGTGGAATGGATCAACTCCACTACTAGAAAACAATCATTTTTAGATAACTTTCGAATTTTACCTTCTTACCAAACATCTTATAATAACTAATGATTCCCTTTGAGAAAATTATGGAACTCTTATGGTTTATGCAGACTGCAGTTCCATCATCACCCGACTGTCAGAATTTCATAAACATGTGGCTGTTCATGGAAACCACTGTACAAGACTGTCAAGCAAGAGTCTGTACCTGAAGTATACTGTACTATAACATGCCATATCAAAACAAATGGCTTCATATTTTTAAGTAAGTTTGTTATAAATGTATCTGAGATGCTTGCACAAACCCCATAACAAGCTTAGCACAGAGTACAGTTACACTATACTGTGTATATACTCCTTGGCCCATCATTATACAAAATACTACTGTAGCAGAAAACTTGGTACTTACCGGTCTTTCTGTCTTGCAGGTCCCTAAGTGGTCCGAGGCCGTTTGTGAGACTCTTCTCTGGGAGGATCAGCCAGCATAACCTTCATCTTCACTCCGTTGACAACCCGACCGTGGAGCACTGCCATGGCTTCGTCTGCACACTGAGAGAAGGACGTGATCATACAGAGGGACGTTTATTGAGGGAGAAATCACTATCAGTCCCATTTCTTCTCCTGTAAACATCCAAACTTTTCATCTAACCCCCATCCATGTCCTTATTCTGAAATCAAATTTTGAGTTATTTCAACTTCACATCCTTAATTTGAAGTTTCACCTGGCATTGCTTCAGAGTCTCACCTGTTTGTCTGCATACTTCATGTATCCAACTTTCCTCCCAGGAACCAAGTGCACCTCGATCAGGGAACCAAAGCGACTATAGTGAGACAAGCACAGAGAGACAGAAGAAAAATAGAGGTTTAAAGCAGGAACCAAAGTTAATGCTGCCTATCTAGAGAATGATTCGAACAGCAACTTGACTCAGTATTAAGATTAATGCTCTTCTCCAGAGTCATTTGTCATAACACTAGACTTTAATGCAAAGAGGGGAGAGAGAGTGGTGAATAACATGCAGGAAAGGAGCCATAGGTCGGATTCAAACCCCCGCTGCCCACTTGTAGGACTACAGCCTGGGGTGCGCACGAACCACTAGGCTACCGATGCCCCATTTGAATTCATTTTTGACAGACATAGAAAATACACATTTACAGTTTCATACTTAATATAATATGTGTAAAATTTACCAGAAAACATCCTCCAGCACATCCAGCGGCAGCGGAGAGGGGCTGAACACGACAAACAAGCGCTCCTTGGACTTGCTGTCTGGTGGAGCAAGCTTCTTCAGAGGGGGCAGGTTGACGTCCGTCTGAACCCGGGACATGTTGGAGACGGCAGAGTAGCCCTGCTGTTTACAGACAAACACACCCAGGATCAGTGACTCACCTTAAAAACTTTTTTTCTAACTGCAAAAAAAGTAATGGGTGAGATGACGTGTTGATTATTGTGTTATTACCAGCTTTAATTACATTAATTATTCAAACTGTAAAAAGCCAAGGGTGGCAGAGGAGTCCTGGAAGAATAATTACCCAGAACAGTAATTAACCATGGGGGTTATTTACAGGAGGAATAGAAGGCATGAAAGGTTACAGTGTGTGTCTCTAATGTAAATCCACAGCACGGAATCATTTAAATACATTAGGATTTAACCAATAATTCAAATGTGTATGACCATTTTCTACGTGATTTCATCATCGGTTCCACTGTGTGAGTTCAGACATATTAAACACTTTTCACAGACATTAACAGATTGTACTCACGTGAGGTTTCATGACTTGGTTGGTGGCGGGTCCGTTCCACACTGCAGACATCATCTGGGCTGCAACCAACTGCATTGCCATCCGACTTACAGGACTAGAAACATAAAAAAGGAGGCAGGTGGTTGCAAACTGATCATCATATCAAAACGAATATGTTGTTGCTGTGCGACCAAATTAGCTTAATGTGAGGCTGTATACAGACAACCCCTTAAAGTTAACCAATGTCTAATTACATGACTTTCAAACCGTTTATGGGGTACTCAACATATGTCTTCCAAATGTGCAGATAAGAACTCCATTTGTACAAAGACATATCTTAAAGTGTTACATCTTTTTTCTGACAAGATCTGGACCAGGACCAACACCCTGAGCACAACTTAACAGGGGGTTAAGGGTTTTTGTGTGTATTAGATAGGACAGCTGAAAAGAGACAGGAGACGCTGGGAGGAGAGAGTAGGGAATGACATGCAGCAAAGGGCTGAGGTCGGACATCCACTGCGACGAGGACTAAAGCCTCTGTACATGGGGCGCACAACATAACCGCAAGGCTATCGGCACACCCAGGGTGTTTTTTTTAAAACCATGATGGCTCCGGGTTGTTATTGTCTTTCCATCTCAACTGTTTGTTGCCAACAACTTTTACTGCTTTATACGAGGAGCTTAGCTTTTCAGCAAACAAACAGCGTGCTCTTTTTGTTCTTCATCAGGGCTCCAAACTAAACAACTGCCTGGTCACTGAGGCCCACAGGGGGCAATACTCATTTTATCCCATGAATATTAAACAACCAATAAAACGTAACTCTGAAGGCGTACAAAGAAGGTTGATGTTAAATATCCGTGGCATTTTGTTGGAAGTAACTTTAAAGGGCATTTCAGCTCCATGTGCTCATTAATTGTGACCCATTAGCAAACACAGAATGAGTGTTTGCTGTGCGCATTAAAATGTTACTTCATCCCTCAGGTCTGAGCCCAAGTCCACCAGCTGCAAAATTTAGAAGAATACTAAAGCAAGCGATGGTGAGGAGATGACTGGAGGGGGTCAGCATGCATAAGTCAAAAAGTGCATTAATTAGACAGTTTAAACATTTTATGACCGATGTGTGTCAGCAATTGCCTTCCAATAGCTGATTTCAAACAGTAGATGGCGTGTCAAGTCATTTTAATTCACATGCTTTTGGTAATAAATCAGGCTCTTATCATTTAGATCACAGCTCCGAAAACACTTTTCACTGTGCAGTACCGCTTCACTAGTATACATAGATGTGTGTGTGTACCTGCTGCGGTCCTCTCCGTCATCAACAAAGTTTACCGCCAGTCTGTTTCCAGGCGGATATTCAAATCCATTGAGCTTCTCCTTTGCGTAAACAGCTGATCCCAGGTTATTATAGCGGACCAAAGCATGACCTAAAAGGCAGATGAAAGAAAACTGTTAAATATCACAAAGTAAACTAAGTAAGAAGTTGGGTTGCATCACTCATGCTGACTCATTTTGCTTTGATTAAGGCAAGATCCCCAGTGGGGAAATTCAAGTGCTGCAGCAATAAAACACAACAAGAAGAACACACAGGAATAAAAAGATATTACATATTTACAACTATAATTAAGTAAACTCTACACCAATTAAAATCTTAACTATACACTTCCTAATGTACAGCAAAATAAAGCACATCCTTTGTGTTTTTTTAGAACCCACCTTTACTCATCCCATAATTGTCTCTCTGAAGCTCACAGTATTCCATGCCAGGAATGAGGTCAAACAGAGAAAAAATCTGCTCCTGGCTAAGTGCAGCCCGTGTTGATATCATCAGGCACCGTGTGAAATCACCAGAGCGGTAGTCCATCCCCTGATAGTTTACAGGTTCAGCTGTTTAGGGAGAAATACCAACGTCCATTAAAAAGAAAAAAGGGTCAACTGAAGGAAGCAAACACCAAAACATATCTTTACAACACACATCTGCAGCTTTGAGCTGTCCATTTCAACAAGAAATATCACGTAGGGGGAGAAAAAAAAAAAAAAAAAAGCAGAAATTAGTTTTTAAATGCAGCTTGAAGAAATCGTTCATCACATTATCTAAACCTGAGGGAATTTGATAAAAACAACATTTCTGCCCCATCAAGCGCTTCTATCTTTCTGTTTCTCTACTTAAAAAGACGACGCAGGAGCTATAATCTGCTTCCTGTCTGTACTTGGGTAAATGGCTCACGATATTATTGCAATTCATTTTTCAGAGTACCAATGCGAATCTTGACACCTTCGAATCGATTTTACAATTAATCTTTACATCCCTAGTATCCATGGTTACTTGGTAGCTGTCGTCCTCCTTCCTATGCTGCTGTATTGATATGTCATGTACATCAGAGGGACAATGTCAAAGCATTGACATATGATTGGGCACCGACTCAGAAATATTGGTTCACAGTGCTACTTAATGTAAAAGAATAATACATAAAACAGAGCAAAATTTTATACTTGCAGCTTAGTCTGAACAATGCAACAATAATCTGTACCACTTTGAGTATTAAAATTACATCATAATAACTTGAATAAATAACCTGGCCGATTACAATATTGAATATGGAAGAGAAAACAGTGCCATGGAAAAAACATTCCCAAAAGCAGCTAATAGGAGCAACATTTAATCTATTAAACACAGAGACTTCATTTTTTAGCCATATAGTCAAGCCCTTTGTCTGACTGAATGATGCAAAACAAGAACGTACCCATAGGGAAGGCATACTGGTTCATCGAGTCATTCCCGCCCATGTATTCACCTCTGGACATTCCTCCACTGTACTCTTCTGTTACAGTGGTCTTAGTGCGAGGTTCAGCTAGGATGGCCCTGTAAGCTACCAACATAATCACCATCATTAATGTGCCTGTTCTGAGTGACAAAAAAAAGGGTTAAGAAAAAAAAAAAACTACAGAATTTGTCACCCATCTTACTTTTGTCACAGTTCTCAATAGCGTGGGCAGCTTGGGAAGGTTTGTGGTATCTCACATAGCCCAGTCCTTTACTTTCACCAGTGGACTTATTCTTGATGATCACACAGTACTCGATTTCCCCATATTCCTGTAAGACATTGACAGAGGCAACAGGATAAGGAAAGGATTTTAAATGTTCAATAAAAGCTGGTTATTTGGGACTGTATATCATTTAATGTCTCCATTCGCATATTAGAGACAAAAAAAAAATAATATAGAGCTTGTACATAATTAAGATAGACTTCTATTCATGTGTGGATTGTTTTTAACCAATTTAAAATAATGTATAGCCATGAAGTACGGTAAAATCCAGTTTACAAGACGCGCTTTTAATTCCTATTTGAAACGTTGGCTGCGTCTTGTATTCAAGATTTTAAAATGGTACATCCTTTAAGTTTTGGTACAACATGCACACAAAAAATTAATACAATTGATGTGGTACATTGAACCTGCAAATCTTCATCTGAGTTCCCTGACATGTTCTGTCTTTCTTTGTAATCTGTGTTATTAATACAGGCAATACATAAAGACAGGAGAACACAGAAACACAACGTTTTAAAGCAGAAACAAGGGACACAGTTTAGAGCGAGGATACTTACTTTGAAAGTATCTTTAAGGTCCTCCTCTGTAAAGGTTTTGGGGATCATGACGAAGATCCTGGTGAGCTCCTCATCCTCCACATCTCTGTGTCTGTTTGAGGAACGTGACTGGGCAATAAAAACCTACAAAACCAAGCAGAAAATAAAAAAAAGGAAAATGGTTACAAATGCAAAATGACACAGTTTGTGCTTTTAAATTTAAATACCATTTGTAATCCCAGCCATTATGCTGCTTCTATGTAAACATGACAGCTCAATAATTAATATTTATTACATTAAATTCCTGTGTTCCTTATAAGCTCTCTCATACACACATTTTTCTATACTATATTTGATATTTACAATCCAATGACAACACAGCTTTTTAATTTCAGCACAAACTGAATTCACAAATTCATAAACATTAAGTCTACGTATTCAGCTAATGCTAACATGCTAACTGTTGCTGACCAGAACTTTGTTTTGTTTTTTTTGTATTTCTTATTGATTGTTTTACGTCGTTTTTTTTATATATTTAAACTTCACTAGCTCCGCGATCTCAAAAGCTAACTTTACCTTGATAGGTTTGGTCCCGTCCATCAAAACCTTGCCGTGCATTTCCTCCATAGCCAAACAGGCCTGCGACGACTTGGCGAACTTCACGTAGGCGATTCCTTTGGACTCCTTTGTCTGCTTGTCTTTGACAACCCAAACCCCCTGGACGTCCCCAAACACAGAAAAACTGTCCCGTAGCTCATCTTCGGTTATGGACCGACTTGTGACCGCGAAAAGCCGGCTGTTTGGGGGGTCGTCGAGGTTTTCAGTGGATTGTTTGGAGGGGTACTCCTCCATCTTGATCACCGCTCAAGTAAATGGTGCTGGATTTGCCGTTGGTGCTGCCTTCAAATGCTCCTCGGAACTACAACGATTCTCAGTTATCCGTTCGGTTTTAATCTATTTTGACACTTTAACTTTTCAAAAGTCGATGCCCTTTAATTGAATTCAGTCATTAATCTTGTGGGGTTTTTTTTTTATGAGCTTACCCCGGGTTGTTTGTTGAGTAAGATCTACTGTTATCTTGGCAGAGAGTAGTAGGTTAATGAGGTAAATTCCTACAGTCTTGAAGCTATCAATGCAGACGAAGAAAGGTGCTCAAAACGCCACCTACTGCGCTGGAGTGCCAATTCACTAACGACGCACTTAACATACAGTCTATAGTTACTAAAGACTTTTGAAATTCATCAATAATGAGCAAGGTGTTTCTCATATTGTGCCGGCCTCGAGGTTGGCCTCGTCCTGTTTGTCTCCCTTTGCTGGCTGTGTTCTCTTTATTGCAGGTAGATGTGGGTGGAGTCAGAGAGGACTCTAATGCAGCACACCTGTGCGGGCTGGTTTGGGAGTCTAAAAAGCAGACCTGCTCAATCTACTCGCTCTCTTCTCCCCTGCATACTGCTGTTAACATTTGTTTGTTTGTGCTTTGGTTGGAGTTTCTGATACTCATTTATTAATACACACACACACACACACACTCTCATCACTGCATACACACTGACCTCCGCACAGATCTAACACTGTTTAATGTAATAAGTTAATTAAACTCCTTTGAATAGTGTTGCCGACTATGTGTGGTCTCCCTCTTGTGTCACTGCTCTGTTGAGCCAGGTTGTGACAATATCCGCAAGAAAGGGAAATGATCAAATGATGTACAAACAGTGTCCTTTAGGTATATTTACAAGTAATTATATTTCAAAGAAAAATGTCAAATAACCATGAAAGGGAATGCCACACAAAAAAAAAGTAAAAAGAAAACGCCAATGTAAGGCTACAGGAGTTATCCCTTCGAAGATGTATTTTGTATAACGAAAATCAAAGCAACCTTATTTTCCTTTGATTGATTACAATAGGCCTACGTATGGCTTGCACAACTTTTAATATATATATATATATATATTTCTTTGAGTCACCATTAAGTTGGCCTGTCAAATAGAGCAGAGGGCTTCATTGTGAAGTATATGTGTGATCCATGATATTCAACAGACATTGAATATTATATAGGCTCTAAACGGGCTATCACAAATATATATTTTTATCTTTTAAAAAACTGACCACGTAACACACACTGAGCTTACGACAGTCAGCTGATGATGGGACGTCAGAGGGACGTGTGACTTGTATGTCATGTCATGTTGGGGTATGAGGGTGTCATGAATAATTTACAGCCGTGGCACTTGTGTTGTGTGCTGCTCGAACCCCATGAGGACAAATGTTTGGATTAGAATAGCTTTGTCGTCGTAGCATACCAGTGTATATATAGGCCTACAACTTATATTCGTATATTAGTGGGCAAAATTAAGTGTGGAAATGAGGTGATCCTATTCAATTTCTCACGTCTATTTTGAATAAACACACGTGTGTGCCCCAGAAGAACCAGAACATTGAGCTATAGGTCTATGAAAGCACACACGTCTTAACTCTAAACAGTTTAAATGCAATACAGCAAATATATGATGATGTGTAAAACTGCCTGCAAGTTCACAATTCTGTGAGTGAAACTCTAACCTGACGGATACTTTTCTTGTGATAAAGACATTTTAAATCTAATGTAGGCGTTTCCAATATGTCCTTAAAAGGCTTCTCAATGAAATCGAGGGAATGCGACAAGTTGCTGGGACCAGTACTAAAACAGTATTCTGGCTTCCTTTGTTAGTTCCTTGTCCCATCTGCTACAACAAACCAGCGACATTATCTTGTTTTTTTTATTATACGTGTTTTAATTGTGTATATATATATATTTTTTACATGTATAACCCACGAAACAAGCGATTTAAAAAAAATCAATTTGAAGATAATAAATCAGCGAAGGACACTTACATGTTGCGAAATGAGACTAGGGCCATATTGTAGAGGGACCACGTCACGATTCAGAGGAACTCGCGCAGCACGTGATTGGATGATGACGTCAAAAGCCGGTGCCTCTAAAGTGAAGTGACCTTCTTACCGACCGTCAGAAACCGTTCACCGGCCGCGAGAAGCATCTTAACTCCACACCGGAGGCAGTTTAGCTCCGTATATTTTCATCAAAAAGGTAAACTTCTACACATCATTTGTGTGTTTATACCAATTACAGGTGGATTTATTTATTTATGATGCTTAAATAAAGGACAAAAGGACACAATGTAGCTAACGGGATCTCCAATGTGAACAGCTCGGTTTCTCTCTTGGCGTAAACTGTAAGCGCTATCCAAGACGATTTGCGTTGATAGTAGGCTATGTTGTGTTGAATACTTACTTGAAGGATGTATGGAGGGGGTTTTCCAGACGTGCTCAGTGCTTCATTGGTTGTGTAATGTGTTAGACAATAAGCAGGACTGTAGGGCGATATAAGGACGCCGACATTGAAGCATCCTTGACATAGCCTGGGTGGGTAACACATCCCGTAGATAATCTAACTAGCAGGATGTCCAGGGGTTTGCTTCTGCTCACGCTGTTAATCATGCGGATTATCTTCTTATCAAACGAATATGGCCATACTTTTTTATATTGTTATGGAAATTGCTAAAAAAGGCTTTGTCCTTGATGCCTTACGAAAGGATGTGTGGCCATGTTTCTGTCTGCCCAAGCTGAAGCCTTTAAAGCTACTTCAAATTGTCCAATGTGCAGTCTGTAGGCCTACTGGGCTCTTTTAAGATATACAAGAGACATTTTCCGTCATAGGCTATATTATGTCATTTGAAATCAGCATTTTATTGACACGCTTAGAGACGATAAGCAGCCATTGTTCTTGTTACACTATTAGTTTATTTAATTCAGATAAGACTGTTGTTAATTGCTGTAGGCTCGAAGCATATCTAAGCAATAAATGTCACATTTTGGCAAGCAGACTCTCTCTCGCCCTCACTACTGAGGGTTTACACAGAGGTCACGTCAGTTCAGCGCAGCCCTCCTCGTCTGTTATTTGAGGACATAAACGGGGAAGGTAACACATGTTTGGAGATATGTCTCACCTGCTTTTAGTCACCTTTTTTTAAGTGCATTAACGTCGGATAGCTTCGCACTCCACAGAAGCGATACGAGCTTAACCCTTGACCTGGACGCGATCATGACAAACCTTTTAATTACCGTGTCATCCGGAGAGTTACCTGAGAGGTGTCAGTCTGTCTGTCTGTCTGGCTGTGCTCGGAAAGAATGAGCCTCTGTTACAGAGACTTAACGGGAGCTAGGCTAACGCTGCATTGTAAAGGTGTATTCATGAGTATGTATGTGTTTCTCTGAAATGACAATTGGCAGGGTGCCAGGCTACCAGTGTACAGGTGGATGTCACGAATGCAATGTTAGATAAAAGCAAAACTGAACGCTGCAAAAAAAAAAAAGTTACCACCTTAGACGACCTTCGCAAAGATGGCGTCCGTCGGGGGGGGGGCTGCAGAGGAGCCTCCTCCCATAACCATGGGCTATGAATAGATCCTGTAGATGGGCAGTTGTATTTAAGGATCAACATTCACACATGGAGCTAAAGTCATGGTGTGTACAGTTTAACGTAGCTGTATATGTGACTTATTGTCTGTCCTGTCTCCACTCTGTGTTCTCGCAGCTCACCATGGGAGACATTGCCAAGGGAAAGAAGGCTTTTGTCCAGAAGTGTGCTCAGTGTCACACAGTAGAAGAGGGGGGCAAGCACAAGGTGGGCCCCAACCTCTGGGGTCTGTTCGGGCGTAAGACCGGACAGGCAGAGGGCTACTCGTACACAGACGCCAACAAGAGTAAAGGTCAGTTCTGTAGTGGTTAACTGAAGTTTACAAGAACTCACAACAAAGTCTTTTCTGTGTTATAAGGCCACATATCCATAGTATGTCACACTTCTTAGTAATACTTGTCGAAGAAATTGAGTATAAAGTTATAACAGGGTCTAAACTGTTTTAAACTACTCTGTTAACAGAATCTATTATTACAAATATGCAAAAAAAATAATTAACTTAAAATATTCATTTATTTACACTTTGTTTTATACAAGTCGAAGTTACTTAGAGCTGCATTTATAGTTATTCCTTATCAGTCAATATGTTTATAACATTGTTAAGTATAATCACATCGTCAAATGTATTTTCTCTCGAACAAACATGTCAAGATCTGTTGAGATTCCATTAAGATGATAACACGTAAATAACAGCAGATCCCCTCAAAGGATACACTGAAACCAGAACATGTTTGTTATGTATTCTATTTATAATGAGTGTTATCAGCTGTTTGTCAGCCTCCTGTGGTGAACCCTTTGAGCTCTAATGACATTAGCAGCTCATACTGAAGGTTTAAAAGGTTAAACTTGGGCCCTCTGATATCTGGAGTGTT